GATGAGTACGTTACGCTCATCCTGATGAGTACCGTTACGCTCATCCTCTACGGAACACGAGCTAATTCAACTCAGAAACACGAGAACAAAGAAAATGTCATGGATAGAGAAAACAGACATCCACTACAGCAGCAAATCTATCTGTGATCAGTTGTGACAGTGCACGGACCCTCCTGAGGGGACGAACTAAACATTTACTGAAGGAACCGAGAAGAAGAGTCCAGCAGGAGGCGGGAGGTCGAGGAGACGTGGATCCTCCCACAGCCGCTGATCCAGTTAGCCCGAGCTAAACCGTTAGCGGGGGAACGAGAGCAGCGCTCACGTTCCACCTTGTCCTGATCCCAGACCCCCGGGGTGAAGTCAGTGAAGCGGGTCAGGGTCTGAGGTCTGGCCTAGTGGTGGCTGAACTGCCGAGACCCCCTCGTGGTCGCAGAAGAGGACCGCAGCCGGGGTTCGGTGTTTCTCTTGGCAAAACGGAAGGAAGCACGGAGGGGACCAGTGACCAGAGGTAAACCCACCTCCCTCTGTGACGGGAGTGTTCGGGGGTGACGTCCAGCCTCCCTTTGGTTTTGGAGACCGGGTGGAGAAAAGGAGGAAACGAAAGAGTGAGAAAAGTTGGTGTGTCCATTAGCCCTAAATTATCTAGAGTAATGGAAGGAGGTACAGATGGAAGGAAACAGGAGGAGGAGATGTGGCTTCAAACGTTTAACTCTCCTCAAAGTCCTGAGATGAGGACTCCATTTTGCTTTTCTTGCTGGGCGGGGCCTCGTCATGTAGGTCCTAAGAGCAAGAAAGTAAAACAAATGAGTGACGGCACCTCAGAGCCGACTTCAAACACAACGGGACAGAACGGACATTTGATTTGACACACAGCTCGACATGTGAGTGAACAAACGACGAGATGGAACGCTGTTCCAACAGACTGTCAACGTCCAGGACCCCAGGAGACCGGCTGTCAGGGGTCTGGTCTGATGGGGGGCTCTAGCTCCAACAGTCGTGGATCATCTTTAACGACTTTGGGTTTTGATGTTCTCAGCCAGTGAGACGTCCGGACTGCAGGTCAGTCCCTGCAGCTTCAGTGGAGAGCAGATGCTCTGTATATAATTCACTACATCGATGACTTAATGCACCCCCATACCATCAGAGAGGCAGGCGCTGATAAGGACAGGTTGATGGACACTCGCAGCGAGGCGTGTTGCATCGTTTCTCGTTTGCTCAGATGCTAGCTTGATCGTTTCTTTTCATGTACTCGTTTTTCTTGACTGTGACCATGTCTGGATTTTGATCTGGCAACCCAACGTTGGAGAGGAACCTCTTTTACCGAGAAGGCTACACGCCACAGTGGCACTTACTGAAGTTACCACGCTCACAACGTGCACGGCAGACAGGACGTTTCCTCGCTCTGCGACGGGACAACTAAAGGTCCAAACCCTCCTCGAGGGAATGCTCATCGCCCGTCAGTTTTAGAAAAAGATCGTCTCGTGATGAGACGGTTACAGACGTTCTGCTCAAAGCCTGAAGGACCATAACGTGATTTACTGAAGTCCTGCGAGGCCACTACCAAACGACCTGCAGCAACGACCTGCTGTAACCTTTGACCTTCAAGCTGGAGCGAGGAGGAGCGTTGGCCTCACTCCGTGTAGTGACGGTGCACGTGTAAAGTGCACGTGTGAAGTGTCGTTAAATCATCTGGAGTGGATCAGAAGACGAGTCTACACCACGATACGTCGGCCTTCAAGAGGCGTCTAAAAGAAGGTGTGCTTGTTGACACGTACAGAAGACTTCACGTGCACACACGTGGACACGTGTCCGTTTCACTCTAAATATGTGGTGATCATCACCGAGCGCCTCGGGGAGTCTCGCTGCATCAAACAGTGATGGTCTGGGTTTGACTGACAGGAATAAATGTGCAAACTGAACAAACATCAAAGGTTTTTATATCGTCATCATCATCATCGTCATCATCATCATCATCATCATCATCATCTGTACCTGAGTGGCTTTGCTGTCTGAAGAGTCCTTGTCCCCTGAGGACAGGCTGTCCCTCTTGGCACTTTGTGCTCTCTCTGAGGTATCTGATGAAGCAGCGCTCTTACCTGGCAACACAACAGGAAGTCACATCTTCAGGCTCAGATCAGATAAAGTTTTGTGACACGCTGGTGACACGCTGTGGTGATGTGGAGTAACTGCACACTTTGATTTAAGTCCATCACCAACCCCGTCACAACTAACACAGGTGCTGGACCTTCATTTGTAAAACCTTTTTCTTAAATTCAAACGACCAAAACCTCCTGGATGGAGACTGTGCACACTGTGCACGGAAAGTCTCTGCTGAAAGTGTGGCTCGTTCTTTCAGCCTTTATTTCTACAGGTTAGTCTCACTGAGCCCCGAGGACTCGTTTAGAGAGACCGGCTCTCTCTCCGTGATCAGTTTGTGTCCAAACGGCACGTGCAGGGACGGAGTGGAGGTCCTGGCAGGAAGAACCCTGCTCCGCACGCTGCAGCGGGTCAGGGTTCCTATAAGCTCTGCGCCGGGAGTTTGTCTGCGCCGGGAGTTTGTCTGCGCCGGGAGTTTGTCT